AGCAGTGGTATCAACGCAGAGTACTGATTTCCTTCAGAAGCTCAACCCTTTCACATTTGATCTCTTGAGCTTTATCTAGTAATTTCAATAGAAAACTCATTGCCTCTGGCGTTTTATCTCCTAATCGATTTGGTCGAGATGGAAAAAGCGGAAACAGCTCCTTCTCGGACTTGCTAAGGGTCTCAATAGACTGCCAATTTTCCCCAAATTTTTTTTTTTTCTTCAATATTTTATCTTCCTCCAGAGTGGAAGTCAGTGCAGTGCGAGCCTTCGCTATATCCTTTAGGAACGGCTCAGTAAGTCCATTACTGGCTATTCGGTGGCATTTTATTCCCAGCCTCTGACGAAGATCTTCATCACTTCGTTTTTCTTTGTCGAGGGTTTTCTCAGTATCGGCGAGAATCTCCTTTATCCTGGCTCGTAGATTTGATACTTCATTGAGTCTTGCTTGCAGTTCTTTTAGTCCTCCTGCTGCTCTAATCTCAGCTGATTGTCGTCTTACTGACTCTGGTACTGGTGACATCTCTTCAGAAATGCCAAGTGAAGCGACGATTCCCTCCACCATATCAAGTACCGTATCCGAATTATACAGTAGGGCAGACACCATGGCATAGCATGGGCCCGCACCCTTGAATACAAAATTTCCATCTTTCAAGAAACTTAAACGTAAACTGCTGTAACCAGTCGTGTATTTGGATGACATTCAAGCTTCGTGTCATAAAATGAACATACTTCGCCTTAAAAAAAAAAAAAAAAAAAAAAAGATGGAGGGAATCGTCGCTTCACTTGGCATTTCTGAAGAGATGTCACCAGTACCAGAGTCAGTAAGACGACAATCAGCTGAGATTAGAGCAGCAGGAGGACTAAAAGAACTGCAAGCAAGACTCAATGAAGTATCAAATCTACGAGCCAGGATAAAGGAGATTCTCGCCGATACTGAGAAAACCCTCGACAAAGAAAAACGAAGTGATGAAGATCTTCGTCAGAGGCTGGGAATAAAATGCCACCGAATAGCCAGTAATGGACTTACTGAGCCGTTCCTAAAGGATATAGCGAAGGCTCGCACTGCACTGACTTCCACTCTGGAGGAAGATAAAATATTGAAGAAAAAAAAAAAAAAATTGGGGAAAATTGGCAGTCTATTGAGACCCTTAGCAAGTCCGAGAAGGAGCTGTTTCCGCTTTTTCCATCTCGACCAAATCGATTAGGAGATAAAACGCCAGAGGCAATGAGTTTTCTATTGAAATTACTAGATAAAGCTCAAGAGATCAAATGTGAAAGGGTTGAGCTTCTGAAGGAAATCAATGCTAAGCGCGCTTCTACGTCTGCGGACGACATGGTACCAGTAGTCAGTCAGTTCAAGCTTTGTAGCGATGATAACATCATAAAAGAGAAAGTGAAAGAGGTTTGCGATCCAATCAAAGAAGAAGTGGACAAAAGTCTCAAAAAGCAGACTATGCTCATGAATGATGTAGAGAAGTGGACTACAAGATTTCCTGCCCATACGAGTTCGAAAAGCCCCATAGGTAAGACTCACATAGAAAAATCCTTGGCAAATGGCTATGAAGTGTTCCGCGAACTCAACAGTAAGCTCCCCAAAAGAGTCAAGCACTGTCACAATCTACTTGACAGCCTCCTTCGGCTACAAGAAAAAGTCAATGATTTTTATTTTGCACGAGAAACTGAAAAAGACGAACTGCTGCGGGCGTATCAGCAGAATGTTAATTCAGCTTCCACCTCTGAGAGCACTTCCTTTACTCCGAATGTTCTTCCAACAGCACAAGTTTCGTTTGTACCTTTGACTGTACCTCCATACAACACAGAAGGATATATTAACGCCCCACAACCAAATCTGCTGCCTGCACCTCTTCCCACACCTTTGTACTCGACACCGTCCGCAGTACCACCACCCCCACAAGCAGCATTGCTTGCGTCATTTATTGGGTTGTTTCAAAAGTTCTACCCGTTTTCGAACTTTGACTTTGATTCACCGTAACTCTTCTCAGAAATAATCTTTGCAATTGCTATAAACTGTATTACAATCTGCAAATCTTTGGCTATTCTGCGTGCTCTTCAAGATTATTGCGGTAACAGTGGTGAAGATTTTATAGGCGAAAATCGAGGAACATCTCCTTGTAGAAACCTTCAATTTGCAGAAGCATAACTTGATTTAGAATATACAATACCGCTCATAATTCGTCAAAAAAGTCGCCGGAGTGCGGCGGAGTGTGGCGGAGTGCGGCGCACTTCACCACACTCCGCCGCACTCCGGCGCACTGCGCCACACTTCACCACACTCCGCCGCACTCCGGCGCACTGCGCCACACTTCACCACACTCCGCCGCACTCCGGCGCACTGCGCCACACTTCACCACACTCCGCCGCACTCCGGCGCACTCCGCCGCAGTCCGGCGACTTTTTTGACGAATTATGAGCGGTATTGTATGTAGAGCAGTCTGTTATGGAATTTTCGGAATTTTGCGATATTCAGGGAAATTTTGCACATTCTGTAAGCGGTATTGTACTCGACGTGCTAACAACATTTCTTATATTGTTTTGCTGCTGGTGGCACATTGTAGGATAGAATATCTGCCAAATTACACGACCTTCGAATTTGAAAGACAATTCATGAGAAGGCGATTTTGTAACATCATAATCTGACGAACAATTCAAATAAAGATCTGTGCTAAGCATGGTCCGATAGAGGTGTTCACAAAGTTTTCAACTCACAAAAATTTGCAGACAATTTCCGCAACAGGTAGGGGAAAAGTGCAGGCGAAGTTGCGATCTTGGTTGGTCCAGCTACTTTTATCTCACTTTAGCTTTACTGTAAGACTCTCTAGTGCAAAATAAATAGGATTTTCGTAAAGATCGGGACCAAAAACCACTATGAGTGAAGTTTACAGTCAATCCGAGAACTTCAATATTTTAACCAAATCTTACGCCGAGGCCAAGAGTGAGGAGCGAGAGGCCAAGAGCGCGCTATATCAGTGTGTATTGCTTCTAAGAAGCTGGAAAAAATATGGTGTGTATAGGTATAAGAGAGGTGTCTAACATGATTTTTGGGGGAATTACGGAGCAACTTTGGGAGAGCCGATTTTACGGCCTGAGCATGCATGTTGGGGGGCTAATAACTCTGCGAATATTACAGCTACGGGGCTGGGGTTTGTTTTATTCGACAGATTTCTGAAAATATGATTTTTAGAGAGAAGGTCGTAGAATAACAAATTTCCATTAAAAGTGCCTAATTGACAGCCGAACTTGGGAAATCTGTCAATAAGGGCGATTTTGGCGCCTTATATCTCTGAGAGTTGCAGGGCTGGGGTAATCTCATGTGGCCATTGACATGTAGTTTTGGTAGCTCTATTTTTCTAAGGGTAGCTCGTGCTCACAGCTCCAGCGTAAGAGGCGCTATATAAA